CTAAAGCTTCAAAACACTCCGCAAGTCCTAACAGGGACAGTTTTCAATTAGAGGGAAAACAAATTTATTTATGGCTGAATGTAAAAACGGGCAGAGGCAGACAAGAGGGGAACTAAAACAGAAACTCTTTAAACATCTGGAAGCATCATTATAGGTAAAAGCAATCTCAAACCACTTTGAACATTAAGAATAGTCTGAACAAACATTCAGCTCATATACGGAGAAAACTCCCACCTATGAATCATCATACAGCCCAACCCTCTACAAATATCCTAACCAAACTATCTGGTATCCTGTCTTGACCGCATGTTTTCTAAGTAACTGGATTCACAAAATTCCCCCCAGAAGGAAAAACAAACAAGGGGTTCTAAATCTAACTTTCCTCAGTTATGTGGTACATTTGAAATGTGTCAACACAATACTGGGAGAAGAGTCAGCTCCAGCCTAATATTAATTATGTGGAAAATGGTTAACATCCCGCAAGCCTAGTTAGCTTTTTACAATGAAATAAAAAAAGAAAAAGGCCTGTTCAACCATTCATGATTGCTGTGTGGGAGTAAGAGAGGTAACTGAAGGCATAAGGGCAAATCTGTTTTCAAATATTAACAGTCTCACATCTGTCAAACAACCTGGGCACTTTTACATGTGCTCTGGGAGTGTGGGGGGAGGGAGGGCAATTTAATTAGGGTGGCTCTGAGAGCTGCTCTAATTAAAGCGCCACAGCTCTCATGTATCAGTGTCCCCACGCTTCAAAAGGGCAGTGAACGTTAACTAAAGCAGACTTGGTTCACAGGCCACCATGCGGCCTGCCAAGCCATTTTATCTGGCTCCAAAGAGCCGCTGCTGAGCGCAGAGCCATGGTGGAGCCACTGCCGCCAAGGCCGAGTGCAGACCCACTGCCGAGCGTGGAGCAGCAGCGGAGCCACCGCATCCGAGCACAGAGCCGCAGCGGAGCTGCTGCTGAGTGCGGAGCCGCAGCAGAGCCGCTGCTGCCATGGCTGAGCGCAGAGCTGCAGTAGAGCTGCTGCTGCCACGGCTGAGCCAAGAGCTGCTGCCAAGTGTGGAGCCACAGCAGAGCTGCCACGGCTCAGTGCAGAGCCTCAGCAGAGCTGCTGCCGAGTGCGGAGTGGTGGCAGAGTCGCTGCTGCCATGGCCGAGCGCAGAGCTGCTGCCAAGTGCAGAGCTGCAGCAGAGCCACCGCTGCTGAGCGCAGAGCTGCAGCAGAGCCGCTGCTGAGTGCAGAGCCGCGGTGGAGCCACTGCTGAGCACGGAGCCATGGCAGAGCCACTGCTGCCATGGCCGAGCACAGAGCCGCTGCCGAGCTGCTGCCAAGCACAGAGCTGCAGCAGAGCTGCCGCGGCTGAGCACAGAGCTGCAGCAGAGCTGCTGCCAACCATGGAGCCGGAGTGTAGCTGCTGCAGCAGAGTACAGAGCCACTGCTGAGCGTGGAGCTAGTCGTGGGCTGTTCAGATCTGGTGAGGCTGTGGGCCCCAGATGACACCAGCATGTGTTGCACAGGCTGCAAGCTCTGGGGGTGGGCCCCTAGGATCCCCTCATTGCATGGGCTGCTCCAGCAGCATGCAGACCCCCACCCTCAGCCATGTAGGCTACATTTGCAGGACATGAACCACTCCTCCCCCCCCACAGGCTTTTCCCCCTTGCACAGCAGTGGGAGAGGGGGCTGCCCAGGCCCATGCCCCTATATATTAACTGCTTGCAGACCACATGTAGACTGTGGGCGACTTCCTGGCCCTTTGTGGGCCACATGTGGCCTGCAGGTAGTCAGCGGGACAGCCCTAATCTAGTCCAACCCCCTGCACAGAAAAATGATGGCCTGTTCCTAAACCATACTAAACATACATACTTTCTGAAAACCACAACTTCCCTAGGCAGATTTCCAGACCCATTTCATTGTCACTTCCTGCAACTTCATTGGTGTCAAAGGTCACGTAACATCACTTTCTGATGTGACACCACTTCCTGTGAGGTCTTTGAATATGGCTTGCCAGCCCACTGCATGATAAAAAGTTTGTGATCCGGCCCCACATTCAGAAAGGTTGGACACCCCTGAACTAAAGCTTGTTCAACGAGCTGTAGTTAGCTGCCCCCGCTGCCATTCTTAAATGTGGGAATGCTGACACATGAGATGCAGAGACTGGCTGGAACACAGTAATTACCATGCTCTAGCAGACTCACATCGGAGCAGCCTCACAGCACATGTACAGTCACTCCCTTTGATGCACTTGGAAGAAATGCTTTCCATTAACAGCTTTCCATCTTTTTATTCCTGGTGTAGACTTAAAATTCAGCTAGTAATCTAACATAACAGTTTTTGAAAGAACCTGATGGAGAAGTTGAAACCTCAACCAATTCTTGTACTTAAATAATGGGATATTTTATTCTCCATTTCTATATACCTATATTTAGAACACATACAAGCAAAATAGGCAGGTTTTCAATGTGGTTGTGAAATTATTGAAAGAATCAATGAATTATGCAAAGAAGAATGTAGGTGAGCCATTATGTAGATCTTGGCCATTATAGGGATTATAAACAAAATATAAAGTATATTAGGAAGCAAAAAATTTACTGCATCACTAATGCACTGTTCTGCTTCTGGAATTAATTATTTAATATCCAATGGAAAGGACATTTGGTCCTCTCTTGCTTCACCTTTCAACAACAGAAGTAACAAAGCTGTTGACTCTGCTATTGTATTTATTTATCCTTTTGTCAGGAAAAGCCCTCCTGCTCTCAAAGGATATTGGATGTTCAGGACCACAATTTGAGACTCATTGCTGTGTACCACTCTTACCATGGCTATGTCAGGAGCTCCTTCAAAGAGAAATTTAGCACGCAACAAATGAAGAAACAAATAAAGCAAACAGTCCAGAGGGGCTAAAAAACACTAGGGCAAGAAAAATGGAATGCAGCACTATTCTGCCTCTCTCACCACACATAAGAAACACACTGGGAAAGCAACTCATGATGTTCAATTGTCTGGGGCACAGAAAAAAAGAAGGCATACACTGCAACAGTACATAGCGCATTTGATTCACAGTGATGAAACATTACACAACAGCACTGAAAAATGGCATCAGGGTTTGGTGCTGAAAATATTGTTTTGTCTCTGTGGGATACTTTGTTGCATTCAAAGGGCATTGGGCTGGGCTCCTCTACCCAGAGTAAGAAAGTAAGAATTAGGGAGGTAAATATCATTTTTAAAAATATTTGTTTAACCTCCTCTAATTATATTGGTTAATCATTTCACTGATAATACAGCAGCTCAGACACAGCTCCCGGAGCCCTTTGACTAGGGGAAGGGAGTGAGGAGGGAAGCCCTGCAAGACAATACAGCTCACAGGAAACCCTGCAGCTGGGAGGAAGGGAGGGAGCACCTGTAAACAAGCACCTAATACTTAGTTGCTGAGTTATTAGGCTGCTCCTTGTTTTCCTCTTAGGCTATGGGTACTAGTCCTCCTTGCCCCCTCCCCACCCCACCTTGCCTGCTCTGCTGCCTTCTTATTTCTGCTGTGCTACTGCATAGCTTTGCTTCCCCCATTCCCTGCCAGACTGTGCCTGTCCAGAGCTAAACGATACCGGTAAGCTAGCCAGTTATCACTGTACTTGTTGGTTAAATGATTAATCATTTAACCTTTCACATCCCTAGTATGAATCTACTTTTAGAAACTGGGGCCCATACACAGGCCATCAACCAACCCCCGGTTGCAGGTTTGCCTGTAGATTGAGGATGCTACATATAATCTGTATCTCCAGGAAAACTCAAAAAAACCTTAAATGTATTCTTCTCCCCTTGATCAATCCTCCCCATTTTCTACTCCACATTTTAGAAAGGACTCAGATTTGTTCTCAGCCCACCCACAGAACTCCAAGTTATAGGTATCATATTAACTCCCCTGGGTAGGAAGTGGTGTGGGACAGACCTATGCTCTTGCTGCCAACATTTCTGGGCACATATACTATGTGACAGAGCTCTGCTCTGATGCATTCTAATTAGCATGTGTTGGATGCGACTGCTGCAAGTCTTTTGGAGCGTGTCAGAACCTCTCTAATTAAAGTGCCCTCCCCTCCACCCTGGAGTACGTGTATAGATGCCTTCTGAAATGAACTATTTGCGAGCTACTTCAAAATTCCTTTGAGGCAGCGACGGAACTCCAAAAGTCACCTAGTAATAATGCATTAAGGTTGAAAGCATCAGACATCTTTAATACAGGTGGCTGAGAATCCCTATATGAGATAATTGAATGGAGAATTATAGGGCATTTTACAGCTTACCAGACAAGCTGCTGGCATTAGGGACATTCAAGCTGTATGGTGACATCAGATTCATATACCTAGGTATTTTCTTCTCAAGAAGTTAGTTCATGACTTGAGAGAAGCAATAGTCCATCTCTAGCAACTCTTCAAAGAAAATGCTGGAGAAAGTAGCCACCTGAGTCCTCTAAAGATGCAACATTTGTGCAACCATTTCACAGGAACAACTTGAAAATGTAGCTAGCATAAAGCAGATTTGGTTGTGGGTGTGAACAATTATTGTGTGGGCAGAGGGGTGGGACTTATCAGCAGAGCAGCTCCAACATATGAAGGTAACAGCACGTGAAACAATCTGATTTTAGGTGGGTCAAGGTTTTACACAAATATTTCATACAGCCTTACTCACCAGCAGTAAAGATAATGTATATTCTAGGGTGCAACCCACAGCACTAGCCTGGAAACATCTGTACACTCTCCCGAGCACTTTATAATTTGTATTTTTTCTGTTCTTTAGAACCAGTTTGTCTTCTTTAAAGCTGAAGGTACTAATTTTTCAGTTAACAGAAGCATGCTTTCTCATCGTCATCCAGTATCATGCCACTGGAAGTTTCCAAAATGGTATTTTAAAATAACTGAGAGAGGGAAAAGGGGAAAATGAATCATGGGTAATTATAGTTTCAGTTCTATTCATACAGCAACTGACTTTTAGTGTTGTTTGCACCTACCATTTCCTTGTGATTTGGGTAAAATGTTTGTGCAATTAGAGGGAACTTCTCAGGACCCAGAGTTTTGTAGATGGACACCATCTGCGCAAACTGTAAAAGAAAACAAAGCAAAAAATACTGTTTAAAGACAGTGACCAAATTCTGTTGAAATCATCTTCAAATTGTCATTCTACATCTTAACTCTGTAAAAGCTAATCCTTTTATTGCATATATGCATAGATAATACACAGTGGGATAATGGTTTTCAACATCTTATACTTTATGTACCTTAAGATGATTTTGTGATAATAGCATAATTACATGCGAAATTATACAAGCAATGTTACATTTTCCTACCATTTTTCAGTTCAAGATCTTGAAGTACTTTACAATTATTAATCTATTAAGACTCTTAGCAAGTCTGTGAAATTGATCGGTAATTTTACAAGATGGGGAAATAGAGAGAGAAAAAATGGCTTGCATTACATCACACAAAGTCAGGTAGGGAGCAAAGAATATGATTCTATTTTCTAGTTGCTTTACCTGTATCTTAGCCATAGACCATCTGTTCAGTGTTGTTGGTCCACAAAGATCCCAGTCATTTAACAGAATGTGCATTATATACATCTGTATGAAACAATCATTTCACTCTTTCTTTCTCATGCGGACAGCAGTAACAAACAATGCAAAGCAATCCAACTCAATAACTTGGGGAAGACAATAACAAGGAATTCCATAACCGATGTCAACTAATGGAAAATATTTATAGCCTGCTCCCTCTAATGAATAGATTGATTTTTATATTATGGCAGTTTAAAAAACTAAATCACTCCTGAAATTACAGCTTGGCAAGTAACGTTCCTAGGGAGCAAGAAGAGTTTGGCAGTCAGAAGACCCACTATTGTTTCAAGCCTCCAAAGCTTTTGGCTTCTACATGCCTGTGATGTATTTAATTGTCAATATGCCAGCATTAGATATAAGCATCTTAGCACAAGTTTGAATAGTGGGTTTTGCTGGTAAAAAAAAAAGAACAATAGAACACTGTATTGTAAAGCAGTTAGATCAAATATCTACTACGTTAATACAAATTAGGGTATGGGTCGGAAACTGAAAGTTATGGAGAGGAAATAAGGCTGTTGAAAGCTCTGAGTTGCATTTTCAACTGGCAGAGAGGATTTATTTTAATAATGTTTACTTAAGTTTTCTATTTCATAAACACATTTTTAAATTTTGCAGGCCAAGGAAAAATGCCTTACTGTTGAGTAGCTTACAGTGGAAGCTGGGTATACATTCGTTGGATAGTATACAGAACAAAGATAAGTGAGGGAAAGAAAGTGTTATTCTGAAAGAAAGAAAACCTTTATGGGTAGGATTCTTCATAATTTATTATTTATTCCTATTCCAGTTAAGGACTTCTGAAAACCCCTGCATTTGAAATCACATATACCCATTCTATCAGAATATCAAAACAAACAATCTGAATTTTCAGACTGAACAGAAGACAAGAGCCTTTCATATTAAAGCCCATTTTAAAAATATATGCTTAAATAAACCTGCTCAAAAACCAAGCCATTGTGTTTTACTTGTGGGTGTTAAACACAGAAGAACTAATAACCAATGAACAAGGAAGGTATGAACTAGGGTTTAAATTGTGATATATGCTTAGAGATTATGATTAAGATGAGTAAAAAAAGCAAGGAATAAATTTAAGAAAAATAAGTCACTTTTCAATGTTGTATACTTAACACTGAAACAAGTTAAAGCTAGCATGGGCATGTCTACAAGAACTGCAGTCACCCCTTTACTTTGAGTATAGTTAAACCCTCAGTTTCAACACTAACCATTAGGGCTGTGCAAAGTTTTGGGTCCCTGATTTGATTCGGTGGAGATTCAGCCTGATTCGCTGGCCGAATCTCTGAATCCGAATCAAATCAGGGGACCCTTTAATCTGTCTGAATTGATTTGGAGAGATTAGGACAGATTCGGCCATTTGGATGTAGATACAGCTTTAAATGACTCACTGAATCAGCATTGCAGCTTCAGATTCAGCTGAATCAAATCAGGGACAGTGATCCGAATCACCAGATCAAATCACTGTCCCCAATTTGGCCCAAATCCAAATCGAAATTGAATAGGACCCATTTCACACAACCCTATGAACCATGTTAGAGAACTTCTGGAGGGGCTGGATGTGTTCAAATCAGTAGGTCCAGATGCTCTCCCCCAGCGTGTTGAGGGAATTGGCAGGGGTTATTGCGGGGCCCCTGGCATGGTTTTACGAGCACTTGTGGTGCTCTGGCCAGGTGCCAGATGACTGGAAGAGGGTCAGTGTGGTCCCTGTCTTTAAAAAAGGGAAGAGGGAGGACCCGGGCAACTATAGGTCCATTAGTCTTACTTCAATCCTGGGGAAGCTCTTTGAGAAGATTATCAAGGAGCGCATCTGAGATGGGCCAGCAGCAGGGATGATGCTGGGCAACCAGCACGGTTTCATTAGGGGCAGATCCTGTCAGACCAACCTGATTGCCTTCTACAATCAGGTCACAAAATCACTGGGTGCAGGTGTCGCAGTGGATGTAGTCTTTCTGGACTTCAGGAAGGCCTTTGACACTGTCTCCCACCCCATTCTCATTAAAAAGTTAGGTGACTGTGGCACTGATGCCTACACAGTCAGATGGATTGCAAATTGGCTGAGGGGCTGTACTCAGAGAGTGGTGGTGGACAGGTCATTTTCAACCTGGAGGGAAGTGGCAGTGGAGTCCCCCAGGGCTCAGTCCTTGGGCCCACACTGTTCAATTTCTTTATTAGTGACTTGGACAAGGGGGTGAAAAGCAGCCTGTTTAAATTCGCAGATGACACCAAGATTTGGGGTGAGGTAGGGACACTAGTAGGGAAGGACAGATTACAGCAGGACCTAGACAAGTAACAGGGGTGGGCAAATGAAAATAGGATGGGATTCAATACTGACAAGTGCAGGGTGCTACACTTGGGCAGTAGGAACCAGCAGCATACCTACAAGCTGGGGAACTCCCTTCTCGAAAGCACGGTGGCAGAAAGAGATCTTGGAGTCATTTTTGACTCCAAGATGAACATGGGCCAACAATGCAAGGATATGGTCAGTAGGACTAACCATACCTTGTCCTGCATCCACAGATGCATCACAAGCAGGGCCAAGGAGGTGATCCTCCCCCTCTAAGCGACACTGGTCAGGCCACAGCTGGAGTACTGCGTCCAGTTCTGGGTGCCGCACTTCAGGAGGGATGTGGACACCATTGAGAGAGTCCAAAGGAGGGCCACTCGCATAATCCGGTGACAACAGGGCAGGCCCTATGAGGAGAGGCTATGGGACCTTAACCTGTTCAGCCTTTGGAAGAGAAGGCTGAGGGGGGACATGGTGGCCATCTATAAACTTACTAGGGGGGACCAGCAGGGTTTGGGAGAGACCTTGTTCCCTGAAGCACCTCCCGGAGTAACAAGGAATAATGGCCATAAGCTGCTAGAGAGTAGGTTTAGACTAGACATTAGAAGGCACTATTTCACAGTCAGGGCAGCTAGGATCTGGAACCAATTTCCAAGGGAAGTGGTGATGGCTTCTACCCTGGGGATCTTGAAGAAGAGGCTCAACGTTTACCTAGCTGGGGTCATTTGAGCCCAGTTTTCTCTCTTGCACATGGCAGGGGTTTGGACTAGAAGATCTACAAGGTCCCTTATGACCCTACATCTACAAATATCATACACTGACACCAAGACACCGGGGGAAATCCTTTCTAAAGAAGTAAGCCCACTGAGCTTAACCTTTCAGCAGGGGTATTCAACTCTTTAGCCAGGAAAGAATTAAAAAACTGAACAGAAATTCAAGTTTTTTTGATTGTGATTTTTAGCTGAATTTACTCAGCAGTGTTTGAAGACTGGTTTTGCCCTTTTCAACTCTGACAGCTATGAGAAATATTCACAGTTAAATATATTTATGTTTTTCAGGTTCTCCTAAAAAAATCTTGTGATGTGTAGCATTCTCAGTAATGTTAGCTCTTCCCTTTCTAACACCTTTGGATGAAAATAATTTCACCTTGACTAATAGCTTGTATCTCAGTGAAAGAATAGTAGTGGGCCAGCTGCACTCTCTCTGCTCTGCAACAATGCAGAGGAACAGTCAGAGGAACAATGCACAGGATACAGATAACAAGAAGCATTTAGGGAGTGCTTTGGTTTCAAATAAAAGCTTTCTGAGGTTTTTGTTACACTAAGAATGGAAGACTGTAAATTTGACTGTACATACTGTACCACAAGCAGGCAGCTAATGTTTATAGAATTTATTTTGTGTTAGCAAGTACAACTAAAGTTTGAAAAAAGAACTCACTATTTCAGTTTTATTAAAGTGCAGTTAAATAAGAGTATATAATCAGTAAAAGCCTCAAAGTAATACTAAAGCTGAAAATGTATATATAGTATTTGAAATGGGTCTGTGACATCTGTTAGTAATAAAAGTGTATAGTTGTACCAGGTTGAAGAATCTGGGTATTTTGGTATACTGTATAGGAGAGTTGCCTCCCAGGTTCTCAGGTGAAGACCTATATGTAATCTACACCACTGTTTCCTACTGGAAAAAAAGTCAGAATTCCTGAACTACATACCATAAAAACTATACTACAAACTGAAAGAGATTTTTCTTTTCTCTTTTGTGTTAAGGGCTTGTGGTTTTGGAGTAGGAGGATCTATGTTTTGTCTTACTGCTCCTTTGAGATTCCAGCTGGTCACACAATAAAGTATGGTGACAACTACGGGATGCTGAGTGCTCACAAACATATGGACAGAGAGTATCTTCCAAACTAGAAAATAATATATTTCACTAATACAGAATATGCATGTATCCTGTTTCTAAGAGCAAACGAACAGGGGCAGAGGAGGCCACAACTGGTTTCAAAGCACAGAAAAATACTTACACTCATTCTATATAGATTTATTTTTTAACATGCTTGCAACTGAGAATCATCTTTTCCCCCTAAGATGGCAAACTCTCTTCTCCAAAGGAGTACTTCCAGGGGCAAGGGAAGGGACTTCTGGTGGCAAAGGTCAGGGGTTAGAGGTGGGATTTCTGGTCCCAAGATTCTGGTCCC